GTAGAATGAGTAAGTTGATCAGAATGGAAAGATACAGGAGAGACATACATTGAAATGAATACAATACAGAACTCAAAAATGTAAAACCTAATAAGAGATATGACCTCCACACTACCCCGTCACTACACTCGGCATTATTTACTATGTGTATACTAGAAGTTAAATTATTTCCCTGGTAGCATGAAAAATCTCCTAATAGATCGATGCCTGAATCATTCAACCTTTTATTTCTTTTCCTTTATGGGGTCAAGGGAGAACAGGGACTCAAGACTGGGCAGGGACCTAGGGTGCTGAGGCTGACTGGGGATGGACCGTCTGTTTCATCTCTGTCCAGGTGTAGAAAGGTACAGACGGAGGCTGCCACAACACCTGGGAGGCCAAAAGCTCACAAAGTTGTTAAAAGGGCACTGCTGAGATGGCAGAAAGACAAACTCAGCCTTCCAGGTACCTCTTCTGCTTGAGTTCCTCAGTTGACTCCGTTCTCACTCTCTCTTAAATCTTTCTTCCCACACTTCCTTTTCCCTTCTCATGTACTAGGGTCCCTGTGCACACAGCCCTCTAGCTTGCTTCCCTCCTCTCCCAGCCATTCGTCAAGGATACACCTAAGTCCTCCTTCCTCTGGAGAACCTGTTAGAGATTAAACCGTATCCTCCCCAAATCCTTCCTTACATCGGAGCTCTGGCCACCAGTACTTTCAGATATAACTAGATCTGAAGACAGGCATTTGAGAAGGTGATTAAGGTAAAAGGGAGTCATTAAGATAGGCCTGAATCCGCTGTTACTGGTGTCCTTACAAGAAGAAGCGATGAGGACTCGTGGGAAGTTGCTAGGGTTATGGTGCATAAAAGGGTGGCTATGGGAGAAGGAGCAAAAAGGTGGCCAACTACATCCCAAAGAAAAGGTCTTGGCAATACCTCGGTATTAGATTTCTGGCATACAGAATGGTGAGAAAATAAGTTTCTGTGACGCAGGCTCCCTACACTATACAACTCTTTTCTAGATGCCTCCGCAAACTAAAATACATTTTGGTGCTGGAACATAGGATGCCGCTGTAAGTCATTCCTGAAATGTGGAAGTGGCTTTGGAACTGGGGGATGCACAGAGGCTAAAAGAACTCGAGGTGCATGTTAGAAAGCCCAAACTGTCTTGAAGAAATTGTTAGTAGAAATATAGCTGTTAAAGCTGATTTGTCTGAGGGACATGCTATTGAGACTGGAAGAAAATAAGTTCCTTGGCTGAACTGATTTCTAGTGTGTTGTAGAAGATAGAATCTGTGAGTGACAAATGAGCTATTTCACAAAAGATTTCTAAACCAAATGTTGAAAATGTAGCCTGCTTTCTTCTGAATGCTGATAGTAAAATGCAGGGAGACAGAGATAAACTGAAGAAGGAATTAGTAAGCAAAAAGAAATCAGAACTTGAAGATTTGGGAAATTTTCAATCTATTCACATTGAAGCAAAGAAAGAAAAAGAGAAACTACGCTCTGGTAAGAACACGGAGGCAGTGGTGGGGTGCTAGGCACTGGGCACAATCATCTAATAGTATCCCCCGGAGAGGCTTGGTGTCCAGGGTGATGCTAAGGTGAAGCCTGTTGGGAGGTCCTCGTTCTCCGGGCGAGAGATGATTCCCTCTGACTCCTCCAGGAGGCCCGGCCCCTCCTGTCTGCTCAGCTTCCGCCTGCAGTGTCATCATCTGCTTGTTACTGCACAAGCTCCCGCCTGCCACTGCTACCTGCACCACGGGTGGCGCACAGAGCTCGTGCTCTGCTGTTTGGATTTGTAGCCTCCTAAACTGTGAACTGAATAGGCCTCTTTTTTAAAATGTATTTTATTGGTACATTTAAGGTGTACGATATGACATTCATCACTGGAAATTTGCACCTTTACATAATCCACCTTGGTTATTTTTTCCCCAGTCCCCTGCCCTCCCTTCAACCCCTCTACCTGCCTTCCCTATCTACACAGACTTTGTTTCCATTTTTTCTTTTTCTCCTATTAATTCCATCTCTTCTTTCTTTTCCCCATCCCTCTGACTTGCCCTTCCCCTTTGCACCTTTTCTTCCTATTTCACATTATCTACTATACCTTTCAGTCCTTATTTACACTTTCAGTTTTTATACTAGAGAAACTATTCAGCATTTACACGTGTCCTACTTATTTCACCTAAGAATATCGCCTCGTTGTGTATCCATTTAGCTATAAATGTCTCTAGTTTCTCATTCTTTATGGCTGAGTAGTACTCCGTTCTATAAAAAAACACACACACACACACACACACACACACTTTCTTTATCCAGTCTCCCAGTGATGGGCAATTGGGCTGTTTCCAAGTTTTAGTTAGCACAAATTGTGCTGCTATAAATATGGTGCACATATATCACCGTGGTGTGATTCTTTTCAATCTTTAGGGAAGATACCCAGCAGGGGAATAGCTGGGTCAAGTGGGACCTCCAGACCTAGTTGTTCGAGATCTCCATACTGACTTCACAGAGGTTACACCAGCCTACACTCCCACCAGCAGTGGAGCAGGGTTCCTCTTTCCCCACAAAGTTTCTTTTCCTTCCTTAGTTACCTGATCAGGTATTTTGCTATGGTGATACAAAGCTGACCCGTGCATTCACTGGGCAATAATATGATAGACTGTGGGCGTAAACCAAATTCAACAGACACACTGTTAGCCTGGGCTGAAGGTGACTGAGATTGGATGACATGAAGGAAGGCTGGTGAAATTCTGGGATTCCCAGGTCAGGCCAATAGGACGATTCAACTCAAACAACATACTGTAACAATGTTCTCAGGTCCAGAAATCAGGGTGGAAATCAGTGGTCCTACTTATTATTAGCCATCAGCAAATTTTTTACTTCCTGTCTTTGAGACCTTACGACCTCCTGGCCCAAGCATCTTAATTCCAAAGGGAGGAATTCTTCCACCAGGAGATACAACAATGACTCCATTGTACTAGAAGCTAAAACTGCCACCTTTTCACTCCGGGCTCCTCATGCCTCAAACTCAACAGGCAAAAAGGGAACTTACTGTAGGTCTGGGTGACTGGCACTGACGACCCATGAGAAACTTGGTTGCTACTAGAGAAAGAGTATGTCTGCAGCACGGGAGAATCTTGACGGTGACTCTCAGTACTGCCATAACCTGTTATTAAGCTAAACAGAAAACTAGTGGCCCAGATCACATAGGAATAAAGATCTGAGTCACTCGCACGTAAAGAACCACAAGTGAAATTCTTGCTGAGGGCAAAGGGAACGTGAAGTGGGTGAGGGGAAAGGTTATAAATACCAGCTAGGACCCTGTGGCCAGTTACAGAAGTGAGGACTGTCACGAAAATTTCTTCCTCGTTTTATTATATGTCTCGTGTGCTTATATATTACACCTTTGTTTTCTTTTCTCTTTTTTCTCTTCATCATATAACTTCAGCAACTTTGTATCCTGTGTATAAGTATCGCTAACTTCACACAGTCATAGTTCAGTCAGGGATCTCCTGAAGAGGAATTCTTTGGTAAACAGTTAATGCATTTTCAGTTATATACAGACAGTTACGTCACATAAGGCAGAAGTCTTTATGTACCGGGTAAGTCCAAGCCTTAAGGATTGCATATGGGTACCAAGCTAACAAAGGTGCTTGCCCTCTAGTGTTAAGCATATTGCCCAGTTGCTTGGGCCACTGTGCCCAGATATTCGGCCAAGCATTACTCAGGATGTCTCTGTGCAAATGCTTTTAGGTGAGCTTAGCACTGAGAGCGGTGGTATTCAATACACAGAACAGTTTGCCCTTGGTGTAAGTAGGTCTCATCCAATCACGTGAAGGCCTTAACAGAACAGATTAACCTTTGAGCAAGAGGGATTTTTGTCAGCTCACTGCCTCTGGACTCAAACTACAGCTCTTTCTTCAGTCTCCAGTTGGCCAGCCGACCCCCATCAGATTTGGAAATCACCAAGTTGGCACACTCGCATGAACCAACTCCTCAAAATAAATGTACCTCTCATAGATAGATAGGTAGACATACAGGAGGTGGTGGTGGGGAGTTGTCCTTTGGAGATTGTTTCTGTGGATACCAAGGTTTGCAGATGTACAAGTCTCGTATAAAATGGCATAGTATTTTCATATAATCTGTACACATTGTCCTGTAAGCTTTATATGATTTCTAGACTTTTTTACAATACCTAACATAATGTAAGTGGTACGTAAATAGTTTTTATGTTATACTATTTAGGGAATAATAATGAGAAAAAGCCAGTGCATGATCAGAACACATGCAATTTCTAAAAAGTATTTTCAATCTATGTGTAAGTCTTCTCTTCCTAAACAGGAAATAATTTAAGATTAAGACAGCAGCTTAAAATCCTGTGTCTCAGGGCCAGGGATGTAGCTCAGTGGTTCTGCTGCCTGCCTCGCAAGCACAAGGTCCTGAGTTCAATTCCCAGTACCAAAAAAAAAAAAAAAAAAAA